TTTGACACAGGGGCAAACATGCAATGGAACAAGGACAGTTTGTTCAATAAATGGTGTAGGAAAACTGGACTGCTACATGCAAAAGGATGAAGCTAGACCACTATCTTACACCATGCACAAAAATAACTCAAAATGGATAAAAGAATTAGATATAAGACATGAAGCCATAAAATATATAGACAAAAGTATAGGCAAAACACCTCATGACATACATCTTAGTAACATCTTTAAATACACATTCCCCCAAAGCAAAGAAAGTGAAGGAAAGATGAACAGCTGGGACTACATCAAACTAAAAAGTTTCTGTATAGCAGAAGAGACAGTAACCAAAACAAAGAGACTGATTGGGAGAAAATTTTTGCACACAATATTACTGATAAGGGACTGGTCACAAAGATCTTCAAAGAGCTGACACAACTCAACCAAAGCAAAGCAAACAATACACACAAAAAATAGGCAGAAGAGCTAAAAAGACATTTCTGCAAAGAGGAAACACAAATGGCCAACAAGTGTATGAAAAATGTTCAACATCACTTGTAATCAGGGAAATGTAAATCAAAGCCACAATGAGATATCGCCTCTACCAGTGAGAATGGAACATATTAAAAAACAAACAAGAAATAACAAATGTTGGAGAGGGTGTGGAGAAAAAGGAACTCTCTACACTGCTGGTGGGAATGCAAACTGGTCCAACAACTGTGGAAAGCTACTTATTTTTGTTGCCTGTGCTTTTACTGCCATATCCACTCTTAAAAACAATTTTATGAAACTTTCACCCATGTTTTCTTGTATGAGTTTTACAGTTTCACTTCATATATTCATGTCATTTTGGGTTGTTTTTTGTTGTATACAGTATAAAGATAACATTCCACTTTCATTCTTTTGCACGTGGCTATTCAGTTCTCCCAGCACCATTTGTTGAAGAGTATTAAAATCTCCTTACTGTATTGCTTGCTATCTATTTCTCCATTTAGCCCTGTCAGCTTGTGCTTTATGTGTTTGGGTACTCTAATACTAGGTGTATATCTTCCTGACGAACTAACTTTTTTATCATTATATCCTTATCTTTTATGATAGTTTTTGACTTTAAGGACAGTTTCCCCTTTAGCTCCACTTGCATGGAATGCCTTCTTCCACCCTCTCACTTTCATCTTATGTGTGCCCTTAAAGTGAATCTTTTTTTTTTTAGGGAGCCTGGCAGAACTGCAGTAGTGAATGCCCCAGTACTGCCCCCTCCAGACATGCATAACAAAACTGATATAAAACAAAGCCAAAAAACCATCTGAGGGGAAAATTGATTACCAGTGTGCCTAATGGGAGCATCAGCACATCCTAGGAAAAACTCTAGATGTTATTTAATAAAGGGGCAGTATTCACAAAAGGGAGGGGTAGCTGCTACGTAACAGACCCTATAGCTATTCACTTGGTCACACAACAGTGTGGGGCACCTGAGACCTAGCACTGGCACTGCTCTGGTAAGGAAATACAAGAGCAGGCACCTAGGATACAGGGTGCACTGTGGGCAAGCAGAGAGAGGAGGACTACTGGCTTGAATTTAAATTTTATTATTTTTTTTAAGATTACAAGAACCAGGGTATAGGCCAAGAGGTGTGGGGATGAGAGGATTCACCAGAGACAAAATGATGACAGATCAGGGAAAGTGACTGAAATACACTGCTGAGGGGAGCAGGAGGTGGGTGAGGAGAGGTCTGCCACACCACGTGGGTCACCTCCCCGGTCAGGAATTGAACTTATGCTGCAGTGGCTGTGGCTAGCTTTACAGTGTTGCACTTCAACCCACTCTGCCACCGGGGAGGTCCCAAATTTGAGGTTCTTAACATCTCTATCTGCCTGCTCTGCTCCCCACTCTTTCTGGTAAATCTTCTAACCACCCAGCTGCAGCTCTGGCCTACACCCCAGCTCTTATATGCATAAATAAAAACACGTCTTTAAAATTCAGTTACAGCCTGAATCTGCTGTGCCTGGACTTCCTTATAGGAGAGACTGCTATTGAAGTCCAGGTGGAGATATTGGGAGCACCAGTCACTCCCCATTCCAGGCTGAGACAGTCCAATACCTACTATCACCTTATCCTACAAATATCTGCTACACTTGCCACTCTTACCCCAGTTAAAGAAACACTTTACAACAAGAATTTCAAATTCCTGAGTCTACTGAAGGCTGTCCTATTGCCCCTGCCTTGTTTTTTATACCTTACTACCCCTCACTGGTGCCAGACCTCCACTACTCCTAGTACAAAATAGCTGAAAATGTACCTTTACTAAAATTCATACAAACTAACTACTGAGGAGACAGAAGAACACACAAGAAAATTCTGAAGTGAACCCTAACTTAGTGGAGTTGTGCAGCATGACAGAGGGCAATTAAGCACAACAGTCCTGGCAACACTGATGAAACTTAAAAAAAAAAAATAAAGCAAAACAAAAACCAATGGAAGGTTTCCCTGGTGGTGCAAGTGGTTAAGTCATTTGCTATAAAGCTATCTACAGTCACTGCAGCACAAATTTTATCCCAGGCCAGGGAGGTGACCCACATGGCACATCAGACTGCTGCTCCCCTCAGCAGTGTATTTCAGTCACTCTGCTTGTTCTGCTCTTGCTGATGAATCCTCTCACCACCTTACTGCACCTCTGGCCTACACCCAGTTTTTATAAGCATAAATAAAAATAAATCTAAAAAAAGAGAAAAGACAAAAAACATCAATGGAGGGTATAAAACAGCAGAATAAAGGCAATGAAGATGAAGACGTTATATTTAGAAATAACGGAGTTAAGAAACATAGCACTGGTATAAAAAGTATAAGTAAGAGTCTAACAGCAGATGAACAGAAGCAATGGTTGAGAATTAATGAACTTGAAAACACAATACTAGAGAACACAACAACAGAAGAAGCTAGAGAGCAAGATGAAAGTATAAGAGCTCACTGGGACAACTTAAAAGAGGAAGAATACCCATTTAGTGGGATCCTAGATGATGAAAAAGAGAAAGGCATAGAAAACCTATTTAAAGAAATAATCACTGGGGTGATAAGGTGGTGGGAGAACTGTGATGACTACTATGATATAAGAAAAAAAATTTTTTTTAGATTAGTTAATATAAAATAAAAAGAAATAATTACTGAAAACTACTCACTCTGGGAAATGAACCAAAAGTTGTGATCCAAGTGTCCCAAATAGTTCCAAACAAAATTAATACCAGATAGGCATACAACAAGGTACTAACAGTAAAGCTGCTTAGAACCAGTAAATACAGAATACTAAAAATATCAAGGAAGAAAAAGGTAATCTGTAAGGAAACACTAATCAGACTATCAGCAGATTCTTCAACACAGAGAGCACAAGGGACTGAAGAGATACTCAAAAGTACTTAAAGAAAATTACCTCCAGCCTAGAACCCTCCACCCATCAAGATTAAAATCAAGAGGAAGGAATTTCACTGAAAAGCAAAGACTAAAAGAAAATATCAACATTAAGTTGCATATAAAAGCCATCCTAAATAGGTTATTATACAACAGAAGAATTAATATGGAGGCAAAAGACACCATGGAAGAGAACCAAGAGAAAGATGAAATTATATCAAGTACCTTCTTTGACCACAATGGCAAAAAGCTAAAATCAACTTAATGAAAAAATAAATAAAAATTATGAATACAGAGATTAAACAACATGCTGCTTAATAACAATTGCATAAAAGAGGAAATCAAAGCAGAAGTTAAAAAATACATTGAGATAAATGAAAATAATGATTTAAATTATACAATATATGGCTGATAAAGGTTAATATCCAATTAATTATCATATAATTCAACAACAAAACCCATAAATAACCCAATTAACAAATGGGAAGCAGATATGAACAGACAATTTACTAAAATGAACATCCAGAAAGCTAAAAGGCCTATGAAAAAATGTCACTCCTAGTAAGAGACATACAGATTGAACCTAAAAATGAGATACCACTTTATATCTGCAAGAAGATAAAAAAGACCCCAGAGTAAAAGGAATACTATTACACTGTTGGTGGGAATGTGAACTATTGAAAGTAATCTAGATTTAACTTAAAAAATTAAAAACAGAAATAATGTGCAATCTGGCAATCCCATTCTTGAGTGTCTTTCCACAGAATGTGAAACCATCAACAAAATAACCCACCTGTTCTACAATATTCACAGCAGCATTATCTATAACAACTAGGGCATGAAAGCAGCCTAATCTCCTTCAACGGAAGAATGATTTTAAAATGCTGGTAACAGGGCTCTCCCTAGTAGCACAAAAGGTTTAAAGCACAGCACTATGAAGCTAGCTGCAGCAGCTTCGGCAGGAGTTTGATCCCCGGCCAGTGAGCTGACCAGACCTCTGTGTCATTCGTGGCTCCCCTCAACAGTGTATTTCAGTAGATCTGTCTGTTTGGTACCCCACTCTGTCTATGGTATGAATCCTCTCACTGCCTCTGCACTGCTGGCCTGTATCCCAGTTCTGTATGCATAAATAAATAAACCTTTAAAAAACTAAAAATAAAAATACTGATAACATGCATACCATGCAATGTAATAATAATCAAAAAGAAAGGATGAAATGCAGCCATTTTTAACAAAATGGAGGAATTTGGAAATAATTATAGATAGCAGCAAAGCAAGTCAGAATGGTAAAAAAAAATAATGGACATTCATATAACACTCAATTAGACACTGTACAATACTTGTGCACAATTTGCTGTTATTTATTATAGCATCTGCCCTTACATGAAGGTGGCATTAAACAGAGTCCAGAGCTTTGTGACTGGAGTTCCACAACTGCCTCCATCTCTGTAAACATGTCAGTCACCACTCACAATGGATTGTCATTTGCTTTCATGAAAAGGAAAATACTCAAATCTTTTCATGGATCAGCACAGAAATAATCGGCAGATACTGAGGTCATTAGGATAGTCAATAATACCGTAATTCAAATACAAATCTAGAAAAAAATTTGCCTTCCTACCTTTCGGCAGCGAGGATTAGGACAACTGAACCTCTTTACATCACTGTCCAACAGAGCAGGAAAGCTACAGGAAGGGCACCTAGAGTCAAAAGAGCGGAAAGAATATTATTCAGAATATTAAAGCCTGAATTGGTTCTATAGGACTGTTCATACAAAGATGGAATTTCAGCTGACTAGCTATGTTACTTTTTTTCTTCTTTAGCTTTTCGTTAAAACATGAGTGAGGCTCTCCTTTTTATGGTTACGAGGAAATGCAGGTGCCACTGAGGTCCTGCCTCAGTGCAAGCCACTCAACAAGAGATATCTGTTTTCTGAGAGCTTGCACACATCACTTTGCCTCCAACCCAATGCACAATGATTAAACCCACAAGCCGATGATAAGTGGTGCCAAGGAATGTAGGTAAAAAGGGAGCTTCAGATATTTTCATTCATAAAATTACCCTTTTACTCCTCAATAAGAAATGCCAGAAACCCCAGAAGGGTACCTTCCTGAGAGAATTTTCATTTCATCTGTGATTTAAGTGTTTAAGTGGTCTTCCTAATGGGGGACAAGCTGACAGAGGACACTCCAAATCTGAGCACTCACCTCACAAGCTCGTCAGCGTAGGCTGCGGCAACTTCTTCTTCAGCTTTTCGCTCATAGTACTTATACAAGATGGTCTGGGGAAGCACCTTTTCCAGTTCACTAGTTGGAAATGAACATGTGCAGCTGCCTTCCATGCAGCTGAGCTCTGACTAGAATGATAAGGTAAGGAGGAGGCAAAGGGAAAAAACACAAGAAAATTCAATCAGGTTTTCAGAAAAACAACAAGATCCAGTAGCTAAATGCATTTTTCAATGGTAAGTAAATAAACATTAAGAACAGACTTTTGAGATGGCAAAGATCTCTCTCTTTTCTAAAAAGCCATACCCAAAACAAGGACACAATGACAAAAACACAAAGACAGTCTTTGATGCCACCACAGGACCTCTTTCAGTCCACACCACAATACCTAAAGATGGAAAGCAGATGAGGAAGAGTAAATGGCTTAATAAAGAAGGGTCATAGCTATGTCTGAAAAGGAGACAATCATGAAAAGCAAGTGAATTCCCTCTACAGATTTGGGAAGGCCCTAGGAAGACAAAAATAAATGGTGGGAGGTAGTGGAACTAATAGCAACATAAACTAAGAAAGAACAGATGGATTGTTTATGAAGCTTCCAGTTCCTACGCCTTCAGTTGGAATCAGGAGTGTAAGACTCTTCCAAGAGAAAGGAGAGCAGTCTCAGGAGGAGGCAGACCAGAGGCCACTAGACTTCATCTTCAAATAGTCACTAATAGTTGAGTTCTTCTCATACCACGTCACTCTGACCTTCTCTTCTGCCTCTTGTCCATTTTTGAGGAACTGTTTGATTACACTGATCCACTTGGACAACCCAGGATAATCTCCTTATTTAAGATCATCTAATCAGTAGCCTATTTCTCTTTTCCATGTGAGGTAACCTAGTCACAGGTTCTAGGGTTCAAAGCATGGATGTCTGTAGTGGGGTAGGGTGGGTGGTATACATTAATCCAATATAAAATCTTCTAAGAATTTTTATTAAAAACATACTAATATAAAAAAAACATACTAATAAGGAGCAAAGAAGATACAATGGAACAAAGAAAATTTGTTCAGCAAGTGGTGCTGGGAAAACTGGGAAGCTACATGCAAAAAAAATGAAATTAGATCACTGCCTCACTACGGTCACAAAAATCAACTCGAAGTGGATTAAAGACCTAGACATAAGAATGGAAACCATAAAATACCTAGAAGCAAAGATGGGTCAAACACTACACGACATACACTTCAGCGACATCTTTAAAGACAGAGCACCCAACACCACAATAGTGAAGGCAAAGATAAATAGATGCGACTACATCAAGTTAAAGAGCTTCTGTACAGCAAAAGAGACATTACTAAAAACAAACAGAAAGATCACTAATTGGGAAAACATTTTCTCACACAAAAGTAGTGATAAAGGACTGATCACAAAAATATACGGAGAACTGATGAAACTCAACAAAAATAAAGTAAACAACCCCATCAAAAAAAGGGCAGGAGAGCTAAAAAGACACTTCTTCAAAGAGGAAATGCAGATGGCCAACAGGCATATGAAAAAATGTTCAACATCACTCGTAATAAGGGAGATGCAAATTAAAACCACAATGAGATACCACTTCACCCCAGTGAGAATGGCACATCTTCAAACAACTAGCAACAACAAATGTTGGCGAGGATGTGGAGAAAAAGGAACTCTCCTGCACTGCTGGTGGGAATGCAAACTAGTACAACCACTATGGAAAACTGTTTGGAGGTTCCTCAAACTCCTAAACATGGAGCTTCCCTACGACCCAGCAATCCCACTCCTAGGTATCTACCCAAAAGACACAAAAACACTGATTGAAAAAGATACTTATACCCCCATGTTTATTGCTGCTTTATTTACAATTGGAAAAGCATGGAAGCAGCCCAAATGCCCAAAAGTAGATGACTGGATAAAAAAGATGTGGTACATATATATAATGGAGTATTACTTAGCAACCAAAAAAGAGGAACACATGTCTTTTGCAGCAACTTGGATGGAGCTGGAAAAGATCATGCTTAGTGAGATAAGCCAGAAAGAGAAAGAAAAATACCGGATGGTTTCACTCATAGCAGGAGTATAATGGACCAGGCGAGAAAATAACAAAAATAATGAACCACCATATACCAGAGACATTTTGTGGGGGTGGAGTGGGGAATAGGATCAAAAACGGGGGGGTGGGGAGGGAATTATGGTGATGGCACACAGGTCACTTGGTGATGGGAAACCCACGGGGATTACAATTGAGATGGAAAAAAAAATGTACAAAATGATGTAAAAATAAACTTTTGTTAAAAAAAAAACTAACACATTGAGATGAAGACATTTGAAAGGTAAAAAAAAATCAAACTTCATCTTATAGTTCTGCTTTTGACAATGTCTTTAGCTTGGTAGCTAATAAGAAGAATTTAAGTTGACAGAAATATCTTGCCACATAATTAGTATGGATTTTCATGGCAAAAAAAACAGAAACAAAAACAAAAACATACTAATATACTCTTATGCATTCAAAGGCTGCAAGGTTCTCTCTTTTTGAGCTCATCCTACACTTTCTAATATAAACAGGGGTAAAGAAATAAGTGCTCCTGTGGAGCTACACACAGAGGCATGAAGAGTGATAGCATTCCTTGAAAAGGAATTTGCAATGCTCAGAAGCAATACAATCACACAAATTGGGAAGTGCCAAGGAATCACACACATTAGCTTGTCTTAATTCTAGTTCATCCCCAAAAAAGGCCACTTCCATGAGGCTTTTAACCTTGTCTCTTCTCACTCTGACTGTTTCCCATGTATGGACATATTAACATAGTTCTTACCTTTCCAGATCCAAACACTGCTTCTTGGGCGTATCTGATGAGACACTCTTTGCAGAACAAGTGAGCATCTGCACACTGTGTAAGCTCCTCAAATGGAAATTCCCCATAGCAGCAGCGGCATTCAATAAGCTGGCCATCCTACAGGTTATCAGAAACACATAGGAAATTCTCTAAATCAAGTAGAGGGGACAGTAATGTCTTATATTCCCCAACACCCAAATACATTGGAGGTATAGCAATCCCTAGAAGTGATATACTGATATGAGTTATTTTCTGCTGTGTAAATCTGGCTCAAGACATTAGCACAAATATGGAATACATATGACAGTGAGATTTTCTTTACCCTCCTCCTGCCATCCTTTGCATAAACTTATATCCATGAATTCCATGGTGCCAGCAGAACTATTTGTATCAGATGATAAGCATGATTATAAAAATCAGGGACATAGCCCTCCCTGGATGGTACAAAGGTAGTTAAAGCACAGCACTATGAAGCTATCCACAGCCACTGCAGTATGAGTTTGATTTCCAGCAAGGGAGGTGACCCACATGGTGCGGCAGACTCCTTCTGTCTCACCTGCTGCTCCCCTCAGCAGTGTATCTCGGTCAATTTGTCTGTTCTGCTTCCCACTGTCTCTGGTGAATCCTCTTGCCCCACACCTCCGGCCTGTACCCCATTTCTTGTATGCATGAATAAATAATCTTTCAAAAAAAACAAAAAACAAAAAACATCCAGGGACAAAGGGCAAGAGTGATATTCTACAAAAAGCTTTGAAAGCTAGATTTTGTTCTTGTTTGCAGACAGCCATGTAAGAGGATTGTGTCCTAGTCCAAACTTCATTGCAAGGAATTACTGAAGCTAACTAAATCAACAACTTCGAGTACTCTGAGTACTGGGAAATTTATTCTTTTTATTAATGGCAGTGATTATCCAGTCACCAATCTATTCCAGCAGACACTGTACAAAATTTATCTGATCCTGAGGTTAGACAAATCTTTTCCTTCTAACTAAGTGATAGCCGAGCTTTACACTTTCCTTTTAAGAGTATATCCAACAAATTCCAGGCATTTAAAGGGAACATTTATTTAAAAACAATGTATGTGAAACATCATTGTTCATTATTTTTAGAAATTTTTATTTACTTATGCATAGAAGAACTGGGGAGTAGGCCTGAGGTGTGAGTGGTGGTGAGAAGATTCACCAGAGACAGAGTGGGGAACAGCGGGTAAGACAAGAGAAGTCTGAAGCACCTTGTGGGTTAGCGCCCTAGCGGGGGATCGAACTCATGTTGCAGTGGCTCGCAACAGCTTGACGGCTTTAGGCCTCTAACCTCTGTGCCACCAGGGAGGCCCTGTCATTGTTCATTTTTGTACAGTGCTTAATTTTTCCTCTCAGGTGTAGCCCCATAAAATTTCCATCACCAAGTCACCTATGAAACATCACCCTAGTCCCTTGTGCTCTCCACAGCCATTTTAATCATCCCTCCACCCAGAGTTTCCGATTTATAGTTTGCCTGCTAGTTTTGTCTCCTCCATCCCCATACCTTGTTTGATTTCCCTGTATTACTCCTATAAGTGAAACCTTCTGATACTTTTCTTTTTCCTTCTGAATAATTTCACTGAGAATAATCCCTTCCTTCCTTACTGGAATATTTCTATTATTATTTTTCCTTCAATTCTGACCCAGTCTGGTATTGAGAGTGACTATAGTGATTCATGTTCTCACTGTATCTTGGCAAAGCAAAAACTTAGATCAAGAGAATGTAGTATGGAAAGAGTATATCACCAAAAATGCCAAGGAAATACAGCAAAAGAAAATAATCCATGAAAATGCCCAGAAAAAAATGAATTAGGTGAAATAAGTTACCTTTTGATATTGTTCCTCATTCATCTGCAGGGCAAGCAGAAAGTCCTCATGCTGAAGAACAAAAATACCATACACACAGGTACAACTTTAGTAAAGATGTCATAATCCATCTAGAATTTATTTCCATAAACATAAAAGAACTGTTATTAATAGTCATCTTTTCAGTAACATAGTTTAATAGCTTAGAGTTACCTGAGAGTATATTTAAAATTCATACGAAAGCTAAACATGAAAAAGAAAGCATATAAGAACATGAAAATATGGGGAATACTTCTTATGTAGAAGGGATAAAGGAAAAGACTGATAAATAAACACTTCTGAGAACAGTGGAGAATAGCAAAAGCAAATAGAAAAATCAGTTTCACAACTATATTTGTGATGCTGGTGAAGGGGACAGATACTCATGTTTGTAACTGCTGAGAATGCAAAACAGTACAATTACCAATGAGGGGAATTCAACATTTTGTAAAGAAGTGTTACTTTTTGATTTTCATCGTTTCCAGTTCTAGAAATCTATGCTAAGGATACCTTGGGCAGAAATATGGAACAATTGAATCAACTCTGGTACTACAGAAAATGGTATACCAGGCAGTCTTACAAAGGAAAGAGAAAAAATCTCTATGGGCTTCTGTGAGTATCAAGTTGTACTGGTAAGAAAAGCAAAGGGCATAAAACCTTAATACATTTTAGGTAAGAAAGAAAGGCTTTAAAAAAATCCATTTTTATATATTACATACTTGCTTTTATATAAAATAAAGAAAGATAAACCAGAAACTATTAAAGTGGTTTATGTGTAGAGGGAGGGAGGGAAAACAGCAAGTGGACATATATAACCGAAGAGCAAAATTAGAAGAAAAAAAAAAAAAAAAGCCAGATCCTTAACACTCAAAAATAAAGAGAAATAAATGTCTTTATTAAATTAATGGCATAAGCACACAGACTTATTTCATGTGACAATATTTTGATTTCATATTCCTGATCTGGTATAATCTGACAAGAAAATTAAAAATTAATTTTACACTGCATTTAGCAATACTATTATTGGTAATAATATTGGTGCTGTTATTTGGGATATATTACTATAAAATAAAGGAAAGTAAGGTAATTATGTTATTAAGAATCATTATTTTTAATAAAAGAGAAAATAAACAAAATGAAAAAAATACAAAGTCTATAAACCAAATTGAAACAGAAATTTCAGTATGAATTCCCTTTGGAATAAAAAACACCATATGGCACTTGGAAAAACTGTTGCTTCCAGGTTAGAAAAAACAGAAGTTGAACCTTGGCACCACGTATCCCAGAAAGGAAGGATTCTATTGGCAATAATGGGGCCAGGACAGAGGTACTAACCTGAAGGGGATGTAACCAGCTCAAAACAGGACAATTTGAACTTCAAAAGGAATGGGTTCAATGAACTACAATACATACAATTGCTGTGCAAATATTTTTAACACTCTCCTGATGAGGTAGATGGTAATATTAGTGAATGCAATGTTGATACTGTACCATAAAAAGTGCCAGTATTTGGAAATTTTATATGATGCAATCTACACTTCTCATGATAAAATCACACATGTGTAAAAGATTCAAAGAAAAAGTTACAATAGAAACTTTAAGATAACAGATGATATTGATGGGTAACTCTGATAGATGGATCAAGATGACAATTTTTCTAGAATTCTCATTTCTGCTTGAGATTTAGAATTATCATCACTGGTCATGAGTAATCATTTCATCCATTTTTGAGAAAATGTGAGTCAAACATCTAATTGAATAATCCTAGATTTCCTGTAAGTAATTTTTTCCCAGCAAGTATGTTCTGTGGGGGAGTATCTAAGCAGCAGCTAGCACCTCTGCGCACAATGCTTCTTCTAGAGACAACCCCTGCAGGCATTATGAAACAGAAGCACTTTGTACATATAATATATTCCTTTCTGTCTAGATTGAAAATGTTAAGAGTCAAAATTTGATATTTTTTTACTATTTCATCAAGAAACTTTTCAGGTGACATTGGCTTTTTTTTTTTTTTTTTTGGTAACATGAATGCAGGTGGTGAGGAAAATGATACTACTACCATTTCGTGTGTCACTCACTTAATTCATGCTAACAGCCAATTCCTTTTGTTTCATCAGCACAAATTCAACACAGTGCAAAAAGCAAATAAATGTGAGAGATCTGATCTTGCTGACCTGTTAAAGAGCCTGGAAGAAACCAGAGATCCTTGGGTGACCAAGCATACTCAGATCTGCTGGTCCAGAAAACACACATTAAACAACCTGTATGTATTTCCTGGTTGACATGTGTATTTGATAAAGTATTTTGCAGATCATAAGAGCTAACAGAACCGCTCTGGTTTGTCTCCACCATTACAGGTTGAAGGAGACACAGGTATGTTTGTGAAACTCCAATTAAATTCTCTAAATCTGATTTATGAAACTGAACTTTAGTTGGTATCATCACAAAACACAAACTATAAAGAAAAGGAAGATCTTAAAGGACAGTTTTATATTAAGTATTAACAGCAAACCAGAATCCTAGATATACATTCCTACCTCTGCCATCTCTTTGACTTTCTGTTCATAGAACTCCTGTTCCTGCTGCACAGCTGGTAGGAGGGCACGCCGGTCATAGGACCTACAATGTCGCCGTTTATTTTCCAGAAAAAACATTCTTTTTTCTATTTTTATGTCACCTAAAAGATATGACAATGCAGAATAATGCAGACAACTCTTAAGAATTCAGGCCAGCCATTCCAACGTTCTGTGGCTTTGACTCACACCTATTTTCATTCATCAAATTTCATGAGTATCCTACATTTGGGTAAACTGAGCTACTTACATTCCCCAACCTAACATGTGCTTTTGACCTGAAGTCTTTTTATCCCTTGTTATGCTCCAAAGTAAGCATAATTTCTTCCACCAGTTCTAATTCATTCTACTACTGAGAACCAGCTGGATTTGCAGTTGGGATAATTATGAAAAGGGCCAATAAGCACATCTGCATTGCAGTTGAGCACACGAGAAGTGGAACTGCTAGATCAATCAAATTGGTTGTACCAACTCACACTTTATACCAGAATTATATGAGTTGAGTCACTCCACATATTCATCAACACACAGTCAGTCAGTTTTCACATAGTTATTCTGCTAGATACATGTGTTTTATGTTTTTTATACTCTATTTTGAAAATTTTCAAATATACTGAGAAGCTGAAACAGTAGTGCCTAGTTTCACAATAAGTAACATTTAAATAGAAGATAACAAAATCAGATATATAAAATTATCTATTCAGATTTTCTATTTCTTTCTTTGATTTGGTAACTTAGTTTCTTAGAAACTAAGTCTATATTCCATCTGGAATTTCAATTTACTCACTGAACTACTCTTCAGATTTTCATCTTTACTGTTACTCTTTCAATCCATGAACACAGTACAGGTCTCTATTTATTTGTATCTACTTTCTACTATCATCATCAAATAAATCCTGCCCAAGTATTTTTTTTTTTCAGTGTGATCATAAATGCTATGATTTCTGCATGCTCACTATTAGTATAAAGACTTACAACTGGGGCAGCCTCCTTGGTAGCACAAGGATTAAAAGTCTTACCTTACTCTATCTCAGCCACAGTGGCATGCATTCCATTCCCATCAGGGAGCTAACCCATGTGGCACAGCAGACCTCTCTAGTCTGGCCTGCTGCCCACCTCAGCAGTATATGCGAGTAAACCTGCCTGTTCTGCTCTCCACTCTGTCTCTGGTGAATCCTCTCACTCCCCCCACCCCTATACTTCTGGTCTAACCCTAGTTCCTGTAATCATAAATTAATAAAAATAAATCTTTAAAAAAAAAAGAAGACACACACTGGCTTTTGTAAGTTGAGTTTATATTCTATAACCTTACTGAACTCTGGTATTTATTAGTTCTAGTTGCTTTGTAGCTCCCCTCAAGTTTTCTAGGTAGATGATCATATCATCTGCTTACAGGCAGTTTTATTTCTTCCTTTATAATCTGCATCCCTTATTTCCTTTATCATGTTGGCTAATTCTCCAGTACTATGTTAAATAGTAGTAAATAGATGATAACCTTCCCTGTTTATCATTAAGTATGGTGATGAGGAAGTCCCTCTCAATTATGAATCTTCTAGTTTTAATAACAAATAGATGTTAAATGCTTTTTCTGCATCAATTTATATAATTATGTAAATTTTATTCTTTTAGTATGTTAATATGGTGATTAGACTGATCAATTTTCAAATGTTGAATCAGTCTTGCATCCTTGGAATAGACCCTACTTTGTCCTAATGATTATTATTATTTTTTTTTTTACATATTGCTATTTTGTTAAGGATTCCTTGCATCTATATTTATGATATATACTGGTCTACAGCTTTCTTTTTTATAGTCTATATGTTATCAAATATGATATTTGATTCATTAAATGAACTTCATTAAATGAACTGGTGTTACCTACTCTTGACTTTTCTACCTTGTGTAGACTGATGTCAATTCTTCTAAATGTGCTGGGAAGAATTTTTCAGAGAAACCAAACAGGGCTGGACACTTCTTTTATGAATTCAATTTCCTTAATGTTTTATAGGGCTAACTCCCTGGCCAGGGATCAAACTTGTCCTGCAGTGGCTGTGGAGAGCTTCATAGTACTGAGACAACCCCTTGCACCACCAGGGAAGCCCTATATGCAAGATCACAGAAAGGACAGTGGAGGGAGAACACTCTCTCATTAAGTCAAGTCAAGCAACATATAGCCCAAAGAGCAGTGCTTAGATGGAAAACAAGCTGCAAAGGCAAAAAATGCTGTCAAGAACAGCTATGGGATTCTACTAAGTCATAAATTAGCTAATGCAAATCAAATTTGTTTTCCATTTCTAACTTCCAATTTCCTTAAAGATGATCTAATGAATGCAATATTAGAACCTAAAATTAAAGGAATATGACTGAATGGACTAAAACTAAAAAGATCTAGCTAACAAGGAGAAAAAATAGGTTTATGACTTAAAAGCAAGCTGGGTAAAAAGACCAAGGCTCCATATAAACCAGCAATTAGGCAAACTGTGATTTTAAAAAGCTATGGTGTTCTTAGACTGCATGAATGAAGTACAGAGTCTAAATTCTAGCTGTGGTCTTTATATACCAGCCTCATTTGCAGTACTCAAGTCCTATATACCCAAACTGTCAATAAGCTAGAAAAGGGCACAAGGAAAAGCATAATCAGGAAGATGAGGAAACAGAGAGTATCCAAGACTTCTCAGAGGCAAAAAATTTTAGGAAGGGACATCGTGAGAAGATATATAGAAAGAAGTTTGTATAAAATATGGCTGAACAAGGATGAGAACTGTCTTATAAAATAGTGTTATCTTTACTACTCAAAGTCAGAAACAAATACTAAATGTATCAGGGATGCCTAATGTAAACTGTAGATACAATTTAGGTGAATGAGAAGCCACTACCCTGTCTCACTGTACCACATTGGCAAGAATGTCATGCCAGGAGACCGCTGCTCTGCATAGTAGTAGCTTGAATACCTGGAGTCAGAGTCTCCAGGATTTCCTTTTAGGTCCTAAAGCATTCCTATCCAGATAATCTGCCATCTTAGGCTTTACTGAAATCAAACTATGCGAGGAAGACCAGATATACAGAAAGACAAGCAGGAGTGATGGAAAGGGAAACATTATTATTTATGACATCATATAGGAAAAGTGTCAAGGGCTCTTTTCTTGGACACAAGCAATTTAGGTTAAATTTGTACAATGTAAGTTTACATGGGGGGGGTAGACTTAACAGAATTTAAAATAAACAAGTGGGCTTTTAGGCAAACTGGACTTTTAGCCCTTTTTAAGGGCCTCTTTTTTTTCTGTGCAGAAGCTATTCTTTCAAGTAAGGGACCCTATTGTAGACAATTAGTGGTTTATTAGGCACATTTTGTTAAAGATAAGGCAAATTCTTGTCAAATCTTTAAGTTTTTTCCTAAGCTTGAGTGTCCCCAATACTTTTCCACACATGAATTCCTAACACTGCACACAAAATCTGTAGCAACTTTTCTAAAAAATACTGATGTGTTTTGTTAAAAGTAGCAAAAGCCATTCTGCAGACTTGTTAGGCCAGGCATTCTCTAGGCAGTCAGTACTATGATGCCTCTTACAGCTGTGTGGGAAGCAGAAGGTTCTGCAGAGCAGCTTCACACACTCAATAACACCCACAGTTGTCATTACCTTGTTCAAATTTGAAATCTATGTAAGAATACTGATTCATTTCTTTTCTCTTTTTTCTTTTTCCACTGGTTTCTGGTGATAGTTCCTGCCATTTTTTAATGGCATCAGAAAAGGCCTAAAAATTGAGAAAGGGAAAGGTTACTACTGTAAATGGGACACAAAAGAATATATGAAACATAGAAATCCCCAAATTTCACTTTGACTCAGTTTCAACTACCTTGCTTGCATGACTTACCCAAAATAGGGAGTGGCAAAATATGTAAGATAGCATTTCACTATTTTTATTTTCTCTTTTATAAACTGCTACAATGGCAGAATCAAAATGTTTATGGACAAATTAAAGGGTGACATAAGAAAATGGAAACATTCAAGCTGTCTTTCAATTAGTACAGGTTAAATCACATAGCAAATAGTTAAGGACTGTATTTTATATAGCTGTCATGGCATTTCTCTAGTCAACACTCCCTCTTCGCACTTTTCCCCATATTCCTCTTAGCTTTCATCAATTCTCCCTCTTTCCCCCCTAGCTCCAAGTTCTTACACCAATGCTAATCCCTTTGCTTCCATACTTTTAGTAACCCTATTTTTAGACTTTCCCATCAGTATTTAAAAGTATTTGAGTTTCTGCCATTTAAAACAAAGAAAACAGGTCTTCCTCTTTCAGCCACCAGCCTCTTTTCTTCCTCCCCTTTATAGTCTAACTTACCAAAGGATCTTTCGGCATGTTGCTTCATCGCCTACTATGAGCTGTTTAACTCCCTCTAATCTGGCATCTAATTCAAGATTCTACATTTAACATCAACTTACAAGAACAGAGAAACCAATTAATGATAACAAAGGGTACAGGCAACAAAATTTAGAATGTTAAAACCTATAGGATAAGTCACACATTTTCTCAACAAATAAGCTACAAGAAAATATTAAGTTGAAGTGAGAATTAACAGATTAAAACCAACTGCAATAAACAAGTTTTATATGAAACTTGGTATGACAAAGTAAGCTGATAAAAAGGTTTCTAACACAGAGAAATTTGAACACCCTTGGTATAACAATGATAGAGACTTTTTATCTTCTAAAAATCAACACTGAAATATATATGGGTGAAAGAAATGAAATGAAGTTTAAATTTTGCTTTAAAACAGTCTGGAGGAAAGAAGTAGATAGGAGTAGAGATGAAACAAGACTGAACAGGATTTGGTAATTGCAGAAGCCAAGTGGTTTGTTACAATACCATCAACTTTTATATGTGCTTAATGTTTATAACTAAAAGTTCAAACAAACAGGGAAGTGTAACTCTACACAGTTGACTGTATTCCCTCTACAGTATCATCATGTTTGGGGAGGGGCATAGGGAAGACATGCTATTACTACACTTGGGAAACACGTATGGGTGTAGTACCCACATTCCCATGCACATGAGCATCCTTCCTACAGGACAGAACTCTGCACCATTTGCATAAAGCAAGGACAAGTTCCAGGTCTCACCTGAATAACAGGCTTTAGCTTCAGCCAAACAGTATTTCTCCTTAGACACTCCCACTTTTATTCAAACATCCAACCTACTCCATTTCAAAACTCTAATTTCAAGCAATCCAAACAAGCAGATACCATAAAAAATAGATAGGCCCAGAAAAGGTGATAAGGAAAGTATAGCTCTTTACAGACCTACTCAGGAACCAAGCTACATCCACTGCATATTTACAGCCTGGGGGATAGGCAGTGGGAAGTGGTCAGAAGTCCAACTGTCCACCTATTTACATTATTTGATGTTAATCTGATCTGACCAAATAAAGAGGCTTGAGAAAGCACTTTCCTTGAAGTCAGTCACGTTAATATACTAAACTTTTCATCCTTAGAAAGTTGTTGCTGCCTTGATTAAATTTAAGTTGCATCACATCTGAAGTGTTAGTTAACCAGACAGAGTAGATTACCCACCATAAAAGGTTCACTGGTAAATAGGCCTCTCATTTTTTAAATGACCTGTTAGTTATGTAGAAAGATGATTTATAGACCACACATAAAGTGACTGATGAACGAGCCACCTGGGGGGAGTACTGTGTGAACACTCTACACCAGACAGCACATCAGGGAGGAGCAGCATGGAAACACATAGTTCATGCTCTGGCCATCCTGCATTCCACACTAAAACTTATTACTCTCTACATCTTTACGAGCCAGCCAGAATTCTCCTGTTTCTAATCTGTTATTTCTTTATTCAGTTCTTCCTGATCAGCAAATACCTTTGTCTATTTATCTTCACCCTGACAAACTCCTTAGCTCTTTGCCATCATAAACCATCCCAATTTTCGCAAGCTGAACTCGTCCTTCCGTTATCACGGGAAGAAGTGGTCAAGAGGTGTGACCCCCAACCGGGAGGACCAAGTAGAGCACCTTTCGGGTGATTGCATAGTGTCCCTTGAGCTCATGCAGGGCCCACTTGATGTCCTGACTGCTGAGCATTTTGAAGTCGGCCATCAGGAGGTCAGCAGCTTGGATGAAGCAGCGCTGGTCAAGAGGAGCCAATTTAGAATAGTCAAAAAAGTCTATTTTAGGCAACTGAAACGAGAGAGGCACAACATTAGATGACCAAATAGTGCATTTCCCATGCGAGAAATTTTAAGCACTAGCACTTAGAATAAATGACTTTCCTTCCTGCTACAGGAAATGTAAAAGAGCTAGTGAAAAGAATTTGTGGGGAGTAAAAGGATCAGAAAATAGACCCTAATAAAGCATTTCTGAACTACACTATCTTTTAGCACACAATAAACAAACTCTGGAACTCAAATAAACACCATGATTGAGATTTAAAATTTCAAACTATATTTGGTTAAACAGGTGTCTGTAACAATATAAATCTTACACCAATAGAAAAACTAAACAATGTTAAAAAGTAGGTATCCTGGATGCTTAAGTATTTAAGGGGAACATTGATGTTTTTGTGATTTACTTTAAAATGCATTAAAATGAAATGAAATGAAATGTAAGAGCTGTGCTGATGGGCAGAGATGGATATGTGACAAAGTTGACATAGTAAAACATTAATTTTAATAGTATTATTGGTGGATATACATGTGACCAATGTAAAATCTTTCAACTTTATTGTATATTTGAAAATTTCACAATAAGTATTTTAAAAGATCAACTAAAATGGTACAAAGAATCCTAGTGAATGTGTGCTATATTTTAGAAATTTGATTTGGAGGATTAAAGAACTGGAAGAGTTGTTTAATTCTTTGTGGTAAGTGGAAAACAGTTACAATGAAAGAAGCTAAACACAGAATTCAAAGTGGCTTTGAGGGGGAAACGCTACTTAAGTATAAATATATTCTGCAAACTCATTTCCCCAGCTAGCCTTTAAAAATGGCTCCCAAAAAGAATTTTTCTTCCCACTAAGATCACCAATAAAAAGGCTGTGGTTTGGCAGGCTGTAACCCAGAGCGTGACACTTGCCTTTGTCTCATCTTGGCTGGCAAGCAGACTGCTACTGGGGTTGATGATGACTCTATCTTCTCTCTTTGGATAATCTGGATTTTCCAGAAGAAAATTACAAAGTCTGCAAAAATAAATGATGTTAACTTTCATACTCCTTCAAATCCTACACCTGCTCACTGACTAATACAATGATTGAAAAACAGTCCTTAGCCAGACATTACAATTAGCCAATCAAGCAATTAAAAATATTTGTAGATCAGAAAAACTAAATAGACAAATAAAAGATAATTACATTGAGTTTCTAGTTTTGCTTGTTAGTTTAAAAAGCAATAAATGTACTGATGAATGTGAACTCATCTGAGCTATACTATTACTTAAGTTAATGTAAGGAAGTCACTGGAATTTTTATTGATTGAACTATATGAAATTAGAGAATTTAGATTAAAAGCATCTGTTGTCAGGAAAAAATGAACAAATAAAGAGTGGAACAAAGTGTGTATTCACATTCACAGTTAAAAAGTTTGCTAAGAGAGCTATTAGTAAAATAAAAAAGCCCTTCTGTTGATTAACACTTTTTGTTATCCCATGGTAATGCAGATCCATACTAGGAGCAATTTGAGTGATGCTCAGTTTACTTAACTGCAAGGCTCAAGTACAGGCTATAATTTTTCTTTTATAAAGATTTTTAAAAATTAATTTATTTATGCATACAGAACTGGGGCACAAGCCAGAGGTGCAGGGGCGGTGAGAGGATTCACCAGAGACAGAGTGGGGAGCAGGACAGGCAGATCGACAAAGTACACTGCTGAGGGAGCAGAGGGTGGGTCTGCTGCACCATGTGGATCACTCCAGGGCCAGGGATCAAACTCGCACTGATGCAGCTGCAGCTTGCTTGCAGTGCTGCCACAGATTCTTTTTATGCCAAACCTACATACAGTTTTTTCTCAATCACTATTATGAAATACCTTATAGTATATACAATGACGTATAACATGCAGATTTAATAAGTGTTGACAAGCACCCCTTTACCCTGTAACAACTAAGTTGGACAACAACCTGCTCTGGGGATGATTCCAGTGACAAGGACAGCCTGGGCAGGGAGTGGCACCATTCACCTCATAACAAAAGAGCTCCTGCACTCATCCGGCTGCTGTGTCTTCCCTCTCCTTTCCACACCTGCTCCTGAAGATTCTTAGGGATGACTCCACCTCCCACTAGGTGCCTATCCTTAAATCTCATTCGATTCTGTTCTTCCCATGTACCTCCTATCCAGTGTCAATACTGACGCTGTTAATAGGAGGGCAGATTCAGCAGCAAGAGGACAGGAAAATTCTCATTCCAGCTCCTTTTCTCATCCCAGGGTCAGTGTTTGGGGAACCTAAAATGGAGAGATTGTTTCTTCTGCAACTCCCTTGGACCCATCAGATTTGGCCTAACTCTAAAGCCTTTTCACTCTACTCAGGTACCACTCAACAAATCTCAACATCTTTTTCTTTATTACCTCTTGTAGGAACCCTGTATGTTTATTTATAAGCTCTCCTTTTCATCACCATGGTCTGCACAATGAACTGAAACACAATTAACAAGTCCTGGGGGTGGGGGGTGGGGGAGCCCTCTTATCAGGAATGCAAGAATATGCTCAAAGACTAATGGGTCATGCCAAAAAGTCACAGGTGCATCTTAGGAGGCTCCTGGTGATCAAATCTAGGACAATTCAGTTTCAAAAAGAAAACTGACTGCAATAGATTATAAAATACCATTCATGGAAAACATTTAAGTTCACAGTGATTAAAAAACTTATCTAGCGGCCTCCCTGGTGGCACAAGGAGTTAGAGCAAAAAAACATTATAAAGCTACCCGCAGCCGCTGCAGCATAAGTTAGATGCCTGGCTAGAGAGGTGACCCACATAGTGCCACAGACCTCTCTCTCCTGTCTTGACTGCTGCTCCCCTCAGCATGTATTTCAATCGATCTGCCAGTTCTATTTCCCCACTGTCTCTGATGAACTCTCTCACCCTTGGCACCTCTGGCCTGTACCCCAGTTCTTGTATGCATAAATAAATAAATCAGATAATAATCGAGATGTTAAGATATATGGACACTCCATGTGTAGCCCTTCATTTTTATGTTAAAAAATGCTGGGAAAAAAACAAATGACATAAAAAAAGTTAAGTAGGGAGTGATCTATATTAAGTAATAGTATAGTGACATAGTATATCATCTTTGAAGACAGTGATTTAAGAATACTGTTGCTTTTGTTTAATTAAAATCTATATTAATGAGTTGAACATTTGGTTAACTAATTTAAAGATCATACTTTATAAATCTATAATGTCTCACCTCACCAAATTAGCAGAAAATGGTATGAGGAATAACCTATTTTCATTTTGTATTCTTTGGGATACCTTTATTTAAACAAACAAAAAAACCCACAACCATCAGCCAATCTACTTGTCATGTTACATTAAAAACTCAAGAAATGGGGCCCTCCCTGGTGGTGCAGCAGGTTAATGCACAGCACTAAGAAGCTAAAGCCACTTCCGCATGAGTTGGATCCCCGCCCGCCCCGAGGTGATACACATGGTGCCACAGACCTCTCCTGACCCGCCTGCTGCTCCCCTCAGCAGTGTGCTTCGTTGATCTACCTGTTCTGCTCCCCACTGTCTCTGATGAATCCTCTCATCGCCCCTATACCTCTGGCCTGTATCCCAGTTCTGTGTGAATACATTTTTAAAATTCCTTAAAAAAAAAAAAAAAAACCTCAAGAAATGTTTCCATATATTTTTCCAGATAGGCAGTGACTACGGAACACCTTCTGTTACACCTTCTGTTACAACTATTGGGGAAAAATGTCTTTTAATATCCTGACCAAAGCACAGCAAGTAACAATGCCCAACATCTTAATTCTATCACCATGCAAGAGTCTACAATGTCCAGAAAAGAAATCTCTGTGTGACTAAGGTCAGACCTTTTCCATAGAATCACTTTAAAAAAAAATTTTTTTTATTAAGTGAAATAAATCACTCACTAAAAGGACACTTATGTGAGGTCCTGGAGTAGTGAGATTTATAGAGATGGAAGGATGCGTGGTGGGTGCCAAGAACTAGGCAAAGAGACTAAGGAATGGGAAGTTAGGTTTAATGGGAACAGTTTCAGCTTGGGAAGAAGAAAAAAGTTCTGCAGATGGAGAGTAATGATGGATGTATAAAACATAAAAGAACTCAATGTCAATGACCTATACTTTTAAAAGTCAAGGTAGTATACTTACACATTTAAGTCATAATAGTTCTTCAGATGAATTATTTCCTCTATATATCCATTTGCTACATCTGGAAATCTTGCTTCCTGTAAATGAATGAAAACACTATTCAAATTTAATTCACTATAATGGTTTCAAATTGCAATAAAAACCAGATGGCAAAAATTATACAAGGTGACTAAAGACTTGAGAAGAGCTAAAGAGCAGGTCTGCAGGTATGTGGCTTAATACCAACATAAGGCACCCAAATTTATCTGTCTACGAAGAATATGGAATCTAGAAAGGTCATTAAAGATAATCTCATCTTCTGCTTCCATTCTGCATGAAAATTCATTCTTTCAACAATTATTGAATGTCTCTGCTTAGGCAGAGGAGTTCAGATAAATAAAACACAATCTCAAGAAACACATGATCTGGAGAAGGCAGATTAAAATCCTGGGGGATAAGGGCTAAGAAACTTTTATTCAGTGGCAAACGGCAGCCTAGGCAGGACACAAAGCCATACTTCACTTTCCAACAGAACCTTGTACAACAATGGAAATGTTCTACTCTATACTTTCCAATATGGTAGCTGTTCAGTCCCATGTTGTTAAACACTAAAAATGTGACTGGTGCCACTAGATTAAATTTAAATTTTATTTAACTGTAAGACCTTTAAATTTCTTTATAAAAAAAAAACAGATAAATTTGAGTTTATTTATTCTTGCATACAGAGCTGGGGTACAGGCCAGAGGTGCAGAGATGGTGAGAGGATTCACCACAGACAAGAGTGGGGAGCAGAACAGGCAGGTCAATGAAGTACACTGCTGAGGGGAGCAGCAGGTGACAGGAGAGGTCTGCTGTGCTGTGTGGTCACTTCTTGGGCCTTCAGTGTGAGAATAAACTCGCACTGAAGCAGCTGTGGCTAGCTTGCAATGGAGCATCCTAACCCGTTGTGCCACCAGTGAGGACTGAGACCTTTATATATCAAGAGTCACGTGAGGTTACCAAACTGGAAAGTACAGGTGTAGTAATCTTAAAAACCTGCTTTAAGGGTTTCAATTTAGAATTAACTCAAGTTTTAAAAAAACTGGGGGACCAGCAAGGCAACCCAGACTATGCAGTTAGAATCTTAAGGGATTCTGGCAGGATTAGGATAAATGAAGGAATCCTGATTCAACTTCATGTCAGTTTTTCTTTTAAGTCTATACATGTAAGCATATGTATTCCTTAGGAAAAGGACATCTACACACACAATGCTCCTGAAATGAAAGAAAACTCATCATGTGTAACTATTTACTTAATAAAACTTACCGTTTCTTTCACTAATAGTGCAACAAGTTCTTGGTCTACTTCAGTAGCTCCATGTCCCCAAAGGTTTTCCAAATTGGCCTCCTGAGATCCTGGCATTGGGAAGGCTGGACCTGGCTCTTCATCATCTATTGCTAGTTGTTGGTCTTCAAGCTCTTCTAGAGGATGGGCAGGCTGAGGAGAAGAGGGGCCTGGAATCCCATCCTGCTGGGGTTCTGGTCTTGGAAAAGCAGGTCTTGGAAAAGCTGGCCCTGGAAGTTCATGTTGATACAACAGTGGACCTAGGTCTGCTTCAGACTGCCGCTCCTGAGGAACAACCTGGTTTGTTATCTCCCGGGGCTGTTGGTTTAGAGACTGGAAGTAAGGATGGTCTAACCAGCAGTCTTCTTCTATAGCCTGATCATCTATGATAGCAGTTGATTCTCCAAGATTTGATAAAAGCTCTGTCTCTGAGTCTTCTGATGACTGGTTCTGAGTTTCCAAAGGATCACCATCTGGGAAAAGAAGACTACTTTCTTCCAAGATTATGATTTTCTGCTCTGGTCTGGGGTTGACATTGTCACTAGCTGCCTGATTATGACTCGGTCCAGGCTTGGGTTCTCTTTCTGTTTGGCCACTTGGCTTAATGAATTCAGAAACTCCAGGAGGTCCAAGATCCAGAAAAGCACCGTAGTCATCCTCAGAATCATCCTGTGTCCCAGAATTAAACAATGAGCTGTTACACACTGAAAAATAGCGGTTCTTATCTGATTCAAATGCTGCTCTAGACTTTTTAGGCCTTTCTTCACTCAATCTTTTGAGATCTTGCCACTGAGCAGCTGGTTTGATGAGATTGGGTCGTGATGTCTGAGGTTTATTTGTCTAAGAAAAAATGAAATTTTAATAATAATTCAATTTCTTTCCTATGTCTATACCTCCTTATACTAGTATTCAGTTTCTGAGATAGATCAGTAAAGAAACAAAACCAAGAACACCATTCTCTACAAAACCTATTCTTCACATTTACCTTAACATTGAAATGTGACTATACTTACAGTTACTGCAGCAACTATAAGAACTGAAGTAATCATTTAAATATTGAAGTTTGAATTACAGTATGACTTATACCTGTGAGACCACTAAAATAACTATATAGTAAATAATGAAAGAATGAAAAAACAGTAGATAGATGAGAAATGTCTAGCAAACGTATGAAAAGAATCAATCTCATTAATAATTAGCAAAATACAAATTAAAAAGGATTTTACATCCTCTCCTCCCCCAAGACTAGAAAACTTTTTAGTTAGGTAATGTCAAGCCTTGATAGAGGTGTAGGAAAACTCATACTGTCATTCGCTGCTGGCGAACTGAGGTGAGACTGCCATTTTTATTAAATTAAAAATGTGTATCCTTTCGATCTATCAATATCATGCTTCATATCTGTTCTATAAACCCTTACCTATCTTTAGAGATATAACAAGGATATTCACTGCCACATTACTGGTAACATAAAGAGAAAAAATAAATTGGAGGCCATATTTCTACAAAATACTCTCCAACTTCCCTCCCTCAAAAAGAAGACAGTTCTAGATGGTACTGAAATAATTAAGTCCACCAAAAGAAGAAAAGAGCAAGCAATGTGTACAGACTCACACACACAAAAAATAATTTTATTAAAAAAAAAAAACTATTTCTGTGGCCCTCCCTGGTGGCGCAGTGGGTTAAAGCACAGCACTGAGAATCTAAAGCCGCTTCCTCATGAGTTCGATTCCCGCCTGCCCCGGAGGTGACC